ATAGTTTAATATATTATTTATCTTATATTTATAAATAAAAATATATGATTATAATTTTTTTCATATTTTTTATATTATTAATTCATTTTAAAATGTACTTTTTAATTTATTTTTTTAATGATATGTTTTATTTTTATTCTTTAAATGTATTTACGTTCTTTGTTCATTTATTATATTCATGACTTTTTTCTTTTTTAAAACAATTAAAAAAAGAGATCTGTTTTTATAATTAATAAAAACAAAGATATTAAAACGTTGTGTGTTTAAATTTTTTGTTTAATTAAATTTTTAAAACTATCTTATTTATTTATTTGTTCTTTTTGTATTTTAGATATATTCAATTTTTTCTACACTCATTATATAATTATACGTTTTCCCTCTCTCATAATAAAAAAAATATAAAAGATGTCATATATATATATATATATATATATATTTTTTCTCTCTTCTACTTGTTTAATTACATTTTTTATTAAATTTTTTTCTCAATATAAATAAAAATAATTAAATAGAATCCCACAGTATTATTGTGATGGGCCAATGAATATAGCCCACTTCATTTGGGTCTGAGCAAATGGTGGTATTACTTTTTCCTGTGTCTGCATTGTCGTCCTTCCTTATTTTGTTTTTATAGACAATTTTGCATCACAACCCATAATTTTGTTCTTGTCTCTTCCTTTTCTTCAGTCTGTTAATTTAATGTTTTTCTCGGCTTGTACTTTTCTGCATCTTTCTTCTTTTGATTTTTTCCTGTTTCTTCTTTTCTTTTATTCAATTCAATGTTTCTTTCTTTTCCCATTGGAGCATACAATCCAGAAAGGACTTATCAGGCCTTGGAGGGGCCATCATAAAACCTCCATCTTCTAGATTCCTGGGATATTCCTCTTGTAGAAGATAAGTGTTCCCCAAACTTTTTATTTTTTTAATCAAATTTAAACAATTTAAATATAAATAGAGAATCCATTCCTCTTTTTCTTTCTAGAAAATAGTCTATGCATAAACTTTTATAACATCTATCTTAAAAATTGCGATGATATTTTATTAAGTTTAAACTATTTTTAATTGATAGTGTAAATGATTATACTTTTTAAACGTATTTTTGTTGTTTATAAAAGAATATTAATCATTTTTTTAGATTTTATTTTTTGTTTTATATTAGTTTTGAGAAAAATTATAAACTTATAAAAAATAATTCATTATTCAATAATCATTTGTCATAAGACAACTGGATGGTTGTCTACCTTCTATTAAAATTTTTTAAAATAAAAACAAAATAAAATAAAAGGCGAGAAAATTAGAGGAATCCACGAAATACACTGTAAAACAATATTTATAAAAAAATATAAATAACCATTAGGCTTCAAACTCTTCGGTTGTTAAAGTTGGTAACTTGCCTTTGTTGATAGTGCTTGCTATATCTCGTACATGTATAGTCGATACAATTCCGCAATACCCTTTTGTTAGTTTTCTTATCACAAAATGAAACTGTTGTATTCATTAGACAATACCCAAAATCGTCTAATATGTTTTCTAATTCATTATATTTATTATCTAGTTGAAAATTATTTTCTTGTGAATAAAGGTGTAAGAATTCATTATTTGTGAAATCATTTAATCTATACATGCACTAATTGTTTTATGAAGAATTCAAAATGTGAAAAATAAAAGTTCTAAAGTAGACAATTTTTTAGATGTGAAAATTGACTTTAATGATATTATCATAATGAATATAAAGTCTGTAAATTAATGAACATGAATATGAGACACTCTCGATCATAAATAAAATATTTATTAAATAATATATATTATAATATGTAAAATAATTTAAAAAATATGATTATTACCTATACGTTATAAAACTTGATCTTTGTGGTAAAAAATATATTTTAAACGTTATAATACAAAAAATTAATATATATTTACAACAATATCTATATCAATTTTATTTATTTTTAACTATATATTTAATTTGTTTTCAAACTATAGAACCAAATCAAAATCAATTCAATATATGTCATAATTTATTTTAAGTATCTATTTTAATTTTATGTCATAATTTTAACCTCCCATTAACTCAAACTCTCAAAATTGTCTACATTATCATACTCAAATAAAAACCAAACAAATGAGTAATTTTAAATTTTCATCCCATTTTGACATGGATATTCCATGTTTCAATCACCATCAATTAATCTCGTTCTGAATCATAGTATTTCAAGTGGTTACTATTAAAGGATAATATTGTGAAAGAGATTACGAAATAATATTTAAATTTATTAAAAAAAAGTCAATTAAAAACACAACAAAGAATAATATTCAACAAGAAAGATCACTACAAGAAAATCGCGTATTTCGATCGATTTTTACCGATGGATTTGTAACCGTCGGAAAATAATCATTACCGACAGAAATTACCGACGTATATAAAATATTCGTGGAATTTGATGTTACCGACGGATATATCCGTTGGTAAAATAATAATTAGTTACCGACGGATATATCTGTTAATAAATTCGTCGGTAATTTATAGATGAATTTATCGATCGGATATATCCATCGGTAGATCCATCGATAATTTAACAATTAATTACGGATGGATATATCGTCGATAAATTCATCGAAATTAACAATTATTTACCATCGATATTTCCGGTAAATTAACAATTAGTTACCGACGGATATATCCGTTGGTAAAATTATATAATAATTACTTAATATAATTTAATTATTCACCTAATTAAAAAATAAAATATTTTTTATTTAATAATTTAATTTAATCATAATTAGATTAATTTATAATAATTTATTAAATTAAATAATTTTAAAAATTAATATTTAATTATATAATATATATAAATATATAATATATAATATACAAATATATAAATATATAAATATATAAATATATAAATATATAAATATATAAATATATAAATATATAAATATATAAATATATAAATATATAAATATATAAATATATAATATATAATATATAATATATAAATATATAAATATATAAATATATAAATATAATTTATTTATAAATTATTATTAAAAATTCTAGTAACTTAGTGGTTCGAAATTCTAAAATCGATTTAAATCATGTCGATAACATTATTTTCTTAATCAATAATAATTCATAAAAATATAAAGGGGAGTGAGTTCTATAAGAAAAAATATGCTACAAATAATAAAATTATTACGGATGGTATTAAATCCGTCTTGCAAAGAAAGAGAGAAACAAAATTGAAATGTTATGCTAGATGCATATAAAATTTATTCTCAGGATATTCTTGTTTTATTCTAATAAGTACATATATTAGTTTTATTGAAGGACGAGCTAAAATGTTTAATTGCATCATTTGAAGGAGCTAGTTAGAGAATATATATTCTTACTTTGAGTGCATATTATCATCTTTTAATTTGAAAACACAATCAAATGTAGAATACAAATCAACTTCACCTTGTACGATGTTTCCAATAGGGATAAAAATGTCAAATAGAAATGAAAGATCAATCGGTAAGAAAAGATTGGTTTACTACTACAAAATGAAGATTCTACATTAGTTGTTTTAGATATCATTTATGTAAAAGTAGTAAATTTTAACATTGGTTGAAATTGATATATATATATATATGTATATATATATATATATATATATATATATATATACTACATTGATTTTCTAACATATATTATTATATTTAACTAAATTCATATATTTAAAATTTAACCTGTTCTATATTCTAACAATACATATTACTACATTCTAAATAGCAATTTGCTTTAATAATTATTGTTTTAATATGAACATAACCATACTGTCCAAAAGTTTATGAACCACTTCATCTTAACCCATTGGGATAATAAATAAATAAAAAATGATCCATTTTTTTAAATCATAATTGCAGTTGAAAAATCTTCATAAATTCTATAAATTTCATTACTTTTTCTCTCTCATTTTAATTTAGCATATTTTATATTATTAGTTATTGTTAATTGAATGTTATCATGGAAAGCAAGATTCCTTCAACCTTTTGTGTTTCTTTCTTTATTGCAACAGAAAAAGGTCAGACTGTGCTTGTCCCACAATCTTTTCTCTTCTTCAAGAAATAGTTTTCCGTCCCCTATATTTTTTTCTTCTTCAAGAAACAGGTGGAGAGATTGGTGATTAAAATAAAACATTAAGTAGATTGATGTGCACAACAAATATTTTATCTCAAGGTGAATCGAATTAATAAAATAATATATTTATAATATAATTATATTAATAAATATATAATACATTGACAATAATAATATTTTTATAAAAATATTATCTATTTAAAAACAATTTAAAAAATTATCTTTATATCTTTTATCAAAAGTTGATTTGACTTAAAAATTAGTTAACTTTTTAATTTATGAATTTTGTAACATTTTTTAATTTTATATTGATTTAATTAAAATTTAATTTTTTAGACTTACATGCGAATTTTCAAAACACAGCTTATATTTATAAAATAAAATAGGTTAGAAAATGTCAACCTTTTAAATAAAGCACTTCATTCTACAGCATTTATGAATTGTAAAAGAATATTATAGTATCAAATGAGAACTTAGGTTGGTTTTTCTGTTGATACAAGTAAAAGAATTTATCAGGGTAATGTTTTAACGTGACATGCCGGAAAGAATGCGGGTGTTAAAAGGGTGACGCGGAAAGCAAACCTATGTCCATCATGATGTGGGTGGGCCTCTCATAGATTTGGCATTTCTTACTAAATAATACAACCAAGATCGTATTGAACTATTCATGACCGTGAATTCGTGCTCCAAATTTTACCCACAACAAACACCTACCACCATATCCGCCATCGTTCACCATCACCCACCCATTAATTGATCGAATCAAGACTCAACACAAAACACCACCCCTTCACTGTTGCTACCTGCAAACTATCAACTTTAGAATTTCCCAGCTCAAATTCACTCGCTCCGCTTACTGGGTTGTCTCCAAGCTATGCGTGGAGCTGAGGGTGGTGGTGGTTTCGCCGTCAGAGGCGGTAACATCTACTGGGGAAGAAAAGAGGAAACTGGTTTCAGAGGAATCGTGGTAATCTTCGCTTGGGTTTCTGTTCCACTGACCCTGTTACGAGAATTCGTTGATCTGTGTTCCTCTTTCGGGTGGAATTCCCTTGTTTGTGCTGCTAATTATCTAACAGCGTAAGTCGTGGTTTCATTTATCAATTGATTCTAGACCATTATTTTTCTCTCTCCATTTTGTTTGTTGCTTGAGAACTGCTTTGACCAATCAGATGAAATTAGTGGATCAACAATTTAATAAAATTGGAGGGCTAGGTTTAGATGAGAATGAATTGTCGTAAAAATCAGAGCTTTCTTACACTATTTCTTAATCTTGGTGTCACTTTATTCTGCTGTGCTTTTGGGACAGAATATTGTTGTTGTTGTTATTATTTATTTATTTTTATCATTTTTCTACGAGGAGGTGACTGGCATGTGCCATATTGAGAGGGAGAGCAGTTTTCTTGTGTTGCATGTCACGTTTGCCTAACCATGTGGAATTATAATTGACGCAGAAGTATGGCTTGGAAGATGCTTTACGCGTGAAAGTAGCAGAATGCTATTTACTGATTTGTTCGATTGTATGTTGCGCCTTAGAATTAGGTTTGGATCTTCCATTTGTTATTTGTCTCCAATTGGTGAAGAAGTAAGAGTGATAATATTTATGAAGTTCATATACGGTTGGTGGAAACTATATGGTTTGCTTTGTCACTTGAATCAGAGCCCAGAGGGGACCATCTATTAATAAGATAAAATAAAAATGTTATTCCCAATACGGTTGGGAGGCAATATATAGCTACTGGCTAGCTTACACAGACTGTGAAATTAAGTATATGGGTGGGTTGGAGAAGTTTAATTATGGTTTACATACTTAATTCACACCATAATTTAGTGTTGAATCTTGTGAGGCAGCTAAGGATCTATCTGCATCACTTTAGGAAGGTTTGTGCTTCCTTCTTAAAGCATTGGGAAATATTGGAGACTTACGGGGAACATATATTCTCTACATCTTATGTGTTGGGAAGCTCTTAATTCTGGTTGAAGTGTTCTGTGACACAGTTCTAATAGTTTCCAAGCATTGGAAAAGAGAATTTCTACTACCTGTTAGATTGATGAGATTTCAATATCCAGACAATTTATTAAATGCATTTGTATATGATTTTCTGTTGTATTACCCTAAGATCCTATTTGGATAGACTTCACTATAAGCATTTATTGGAGAAAATAATAAAAAGGTAAAATGATTGATCTGCTCCCATGAGCTAAAGTCAACTTATGCACTTAACTTATATTGAAATTCTTTCATACAACTTTTCCAAAAGCCGAAGTGCATAAACTGATGTTAGCTAATGAGAGATGTGCAATTCATTTAATCTTTTTATTTTCTTCTTCGGTAAGGTAAGTACTTATGGAAAAGTTTGTTTAAACAGGGTTTAAGTCATTTCTGTCAAAAACTTAAGTGACATGCTCAAGTTGTAGCCTCCTCAATATCTACTTTGGTCTAATATTTTTTTGGTCACAGATTACCACCTTATTTGATTTGTGCTCTTCAATTCGTTGGTTGGTGCATATTACTGATGGGATTTTTATATCTTATATTCCTCTCATGCAGTTTCCATGATGAAAGTGCCATGCCATTGGCATTTTGTGTTCTTGATGAACTTATTGAGGTTAGTTTTAGAATTTAGATAGCATGCTGAAATTTATATTGATGCTCTTAGATGAAAATTTCAAAATCTCTCTATAATTCTAGGCTACATATCTCGGGCTATGTCATAGCATAGGTGCTAAGTGCAAAAGGTCATTTGGATTATGCAGGAGCTGAGAACTAGGTCATGTCCTGTTGTATTTGCTGCTTTTTCTGCTGGGTCCAAAGCCTGTCTGTATAAAGTATTTCAGGTAATTTTAGGTATCCAATCTTATGTTTGATATGGAGAATATTATAATTTAAAGTTGAATCCATGTTAAGTAGAAATGGTCATTGTAATATCTTTCTGTATAAATGCAGCTTATTGATGGAAGATGTGAGACTGCGCTCAACTTGGTAATGCACTTTTTCCTTATATATATATATATATATATATGTGTGTGTGTGTGTGTGTGTATTTGTATATTTTTAAACAAAAGAATTCCGTCTTTATGCATTCCTTTCTCTCTTCATTGATTGATGTTGTTTTGTGCTTTGTGATCCTGAAATTTATTGATTATTGATTTATTTTTGCAGCCTAACTACCAACTACTTAGAAACTGCCTCTCTGGACATATATATGATTCTGGTCCAATAGATGTTACAAGTGATTTTGGCTTCCGCTTTGCACTACACCCCTCCATTGCAAAAGTGCCTGGACCATCAAAACTTGTTTCTTGGGTAGCAAAATCTGTCACCTCTGGTTTGGATGCTTTATACTTAACTAGATTTGAATCCCAAGCTGCTGCGCATTGGCAGGCTTTATATTCTTCTGTTGTAAGTTCTAACTTGACCACCTGGAATCGATTTTAGTTTTATTGTTTTAAACTCTGATTTCATTTTTTTTTTAGAATTTTGGAGCTCCATTTCTCCTATTATGTTCTGAGAATGATGACCTTGTGCGATACCAAAGTATATATGATTTTGCCCAACGACTGCGCAATCTCAATGGAGATGTCAACCTTGTAAATTTCAGTAGCTCCTGTCACCTTGGTTCGTCTGAGACTAATTTTCGACTACGTTGTGACAAACTTGAACCAGCTTAACCTCCTAAATATTTTATTATTATTAATTTGTTTCAGGTCATTACAAACACCATCCAATTCAATATAGAACAGCTGTGAACCATTTCTTAGAGAAGGCTGTTACAACATATTCACAGAAAGTGATGCTTGAAAGAACTAGTATGGATGGTACACAGGATGAGATATCAGAGTTAATCTGTGACCTGCAGAAGGTGGCAATCAATTCAAATAAAAGCCTTAGAAGAGTTGCAGTTGGACCAACTGACCACTTCTTTTTGCCAAGTTCAGCAGGGAATTACAGTGATAGAGAATCTGGAACTCCACAGGATGAACAGAAAGACAAGCCTGTTTTTCTGCCTAGTCTCCCAAGCATCAGTGCTCACAGTGTTCTTGGCCAATTTCTTTTTGACGTTTGCGTCCCTAAGAATGTTGAGGGCTGGGATGTGAAATTTTCTGGGCTGAATGGGAGGTCATGTGCTTCAGCTCCTAGACATTCACTTTTCAGAGACACTAAGCGCATTGGTCGGTCCAGATTATAAAATTGTTCTAATATCAGACATGAGGAAATACTTTCTGATAAACTTGTTTGAAACATCAGCAATTTCCCCTGATAATGAAGGAAGATATGATAGATTTGATGCGCTGTTTTTCTGTGGAAGTGTAATGCTTGCAATGGTTCTAGAATTAATTCCTTGGCACTTAAGAGAAAATGGTGGGATGAGATGGATAAAGGAGTTCCATCTCTTCTGATTTCCCTTATGAACACATGACTGTTGTCTCAGAAAGGAGAGCTTCTGATAGCCCAAACTGGTTGATACTTGGCCATGGTAACTATTCATTGGGTAATTGCATTTGCATGAAATGAGATAAAACTGTACTCACATATATGTAGTTGGCGCATGTATATAGATGTACATAATATATTTTTGAGGGAATAAAACGTCTCTTGTTAGAGGGTAGAAGAAACTTGTAAATTAGACGTGTCTAGCAATGTGCAGAAATGTTGTTATACTTGTTTTATTTGTCAGCAGAATAACTTCATCTTCTAAACAATGTTGTGTGGCTGGAGTTAAGTACCTGATGGAGAGACGATGGTGTGGTGTTCCAAAGTGAAGCACAACTTTCACAAATGTGAGCAGGGCCAGCCAAGAGGTTTGATTGGAAGGGCGATTGTTGAGGACTCATTAGTGATCGGGACCAAAAATATACTCATTCTGATTTTTTTTTTGAAAAAGAATATTTGATTAACACATGACTTTTCAACTTATGTTTTCTACAGTTAAAATTAACTCTTAATTTTCAGCTTTTACTTTTTACAATTAACATTAAATCATAATTTAATTGACTATATATCCTGATTCCAAGTTTTAATAGATTTTCACCAATGCGATGAAAGAGCGTCCACGAATTTTATATTTGTAACAGCTTTATCAAAGACAGAAACTGAAATATTGGAACCTCCACACCAGACACTACCTCAAGGGTTGTTTTAGAAACATGATCTTCACCAGTCTTGGACTTTTTTGGGAGAAAAATATGAAAAAGTTAGCTAGCATTACTTTTTTAATAAAAGGAAACAGTAAAACTCTTGTCTTAAAACCAAGCTGTTTAATCTTCTACCAATGGAAATAGAAAGAAAGTCATTGCTAGTAGTAGGTGTATCTTTCCGGTTATTACATTGAAAAAAAAAAATACGAATTTAAATGATAACATAAGATATATAAATATATATTAATTTTTTTTATGAGATACGCTTCTTTAATTTATTATTATTATTATTATTATTATTATTATTATTATTATTATTTCAATTTAAATTTAGAAATGATAATGTAAATTGTAAAAATATATATAATGATCCATTTTTTCGAAGACACATGTTTTTTATTCTTAATTATTATTATTTTATTTAGATATACTTACATGTTAAATTTATAAACATCATTAATTTCATTTTATATAAAAAAAATATTTATTAAGAAAAAATGTTTATTTTTGATAATATACAATATTATCAATAATTATATTATTAAATTTCAAAATAATATTACGTGTCTAATATATTAGAGATTACAAATTATTCCAATTTATTGTTATGAGATATTAATATTACAAGTTTAAATATATTTGTGGTTTTATATATCATTTATCACCATAATTAAAGGACGTTGTGATTAAAAAAATTCAAAATAGATTAAATCTTATGATTTTAATATTAATATGATTTCAATATTACATTATATATCATTAAATATGAAATAAATATTTGTTCAATATTTCTTTGATATGATATAAATATTGTGGAAAAATATTTTATGTAATACAAAATATTTGAGTCTTTACATAAAAGTAGAAGAAACCCACTAAGTATAGAGAAAATGAAAGTTTGTCGGAAATTAGGATGATTCATATAATTAATTCCTTACATAACCACATATATAAGCTAGAAGGACTATTTAAGAAAATGAACCTCAAACACACCACCAAGGTAAATTCATACTGTTAACAAATCCTTTTAGTATAAAGCTAACATGAAAAGGTATAGCCATTATAGCTCATGACAATATTTATTATTGTACTTAGCTCCGAGCTCATAGAAATTTTAAAGGTAAACACCAAATTACTTGCCTAGCAGAGACTAGAGCTAAAAAAACCATATCTCCTCCCGCAGTTAACAAATTGTTACTGGTCTAAAAGAGACTAGAGCAAAGGAACATAGTTTTCATAATACATTAAAATATCTTTACTCACCTAGTGGAAACTAGAGCGAAAGAACATAGTTCCTACAACACACTAAACAAATCTTTACCCGTCTAGTGGAGACTAGAGCGAAAGAACGTAGCTCCCACAACCGTTAACAATTCTTTACTTGCCTAACAAAGATTAGAGTGAATGAATGTAACTTCCACAACACGAACATGTAGCCACCGTAATACGTTATCAATAAACATAATTATCGCAATAGTCATTATTGAACTTAGCTATTGCAATACATCATTATTAGACATAACTATTCAAACTTATCATTATTAGTCGTAACTATTGCAACACGTCAATATACTCACCTAGTATGATCTAGTGTGAAAGAATGAAGTTGCCACAACTCAATCAAATTTATAGGCAAAAGCTAATAACATGGAGCCTTTATAGCTCATCTTAAACAAATAAAAAGTTAATTTAGCTGGATCTTAAATGATTTGAGTTCTATGTTAAAGCTGAACTAGATTTTATCTGAGTTATATTCTTCCCAATTCTATATTCAAATCATATTGAGTTAGATTTTATCCGAGATATATTCATCCAACTTATAAAATTATTTGAGCATGTTATTGTACCATAACAATTATTCAAGAATGTCATTTAAACATGTCATTATATTATAACAATGGTATGTCATAACACTTGATATCACAAAATAAAAAATATAGAACAATAATCAAGCTTCATGTTATTATAAAAATATCATATATCTATATGAATTTGAGTGCCCTTATATATACTTTAAAGATATTTTTTATTTGAAACAGTTCGGTAATAACTCTAAATTGAGCACATCTCACTCATATAATTGAACACATATCAATCATTGTTTGAAATTAAACTCACATTGACTCTAATAATATTTTATATATAAATTATCAATATGAATTGCACATTTGTAAAAAAAAAAAATTGTAGTTGTTGAATCGACTTGGTCACACCTATAATAGAGATCAAAATAATCAAGTCCCTTGAAAAAGTCTTATAAAATTTCATAGATGAGAATTACTTAGTCAACTCATTCATCTATACTAAAGTTAGACTTTGAGCTTGAGTTTATGTACTTGTTCTCATTCCTACATTCATGACATTTATTACATAATAAAAATATTCTCTATATCAATCCATACTAGAGTAATAATACATAATTAATCTACTGATTTCTTGGTTATAACCATCATTAAATAAATATAATTTACTATTTAGAATACCATGGTAAAATTCCTATAAATACAATCACTTTATTCTTTACAAATTATCTAATTCTTATTCAAAGACCTTTCTATTATTATTATTATTATTCTTTTCCTTATATCAGAGTGTCTTTATAGGTGGACCTCCTTTTTTTTCCAACATTCAATAAAGCTTGACATAATAAATCTCAAAGTGGCAATCATTTAGGCCAATTTGTGAAACTTATTTATTATTTTAATTTTTTAGGAAGAGGAATGAGATAAGGAAAATTCAATGCAATTTTGATATCTAGCCTATCCTTTATCATAAACATGTACTTGGTACTCAGACTTAAACTTAATTCGAGTTCAATAGTACAAGGGGAAAAATCAACATAAAAGAACAACTATTTGGTGGGATCATCTTGTCACATTTTACTTTGAAAAACTACTCTTAAAAATTTTAAATGAAGAAGTATATGTGGTGAAAAGGCCTCGTGCTGGGAACAGAGAAACCCAATCATTTACCTTGTCATGCTTTAAGTTCTAAAAATGGATGAATTTATTTTCTTTTACTCATTAATATGAAGCATTTGACACAATATTTGAAATACTTTAAAAAAAAATTCAACTATTTAAATGGGATTGATTAGGAGTAACATTCAAATAGATAACATGTTAGGGTCCTTTCGAGGGGGATTCACAGGGGAGAAACACACCATTGAGATATGAGTCCAACCCACATAAGGATTAACACTACTTTCAACCAAAAACCTTAAGGCATTGGGTTATGGGTCTTTCTTCCTTATATGTTGCTCAACTTTCTCATTCTTACTCAATGTGAGACTTAAAATTACACTTGGATTCTAAATCATCTTCCCCTCAAGTGTGAATTCTTACACATTGGTGCATTTCCTCGAACTCACTAGTGACACTTCCATGTATCGCCGTTCACCCTAACGGGACACACTTAAGTGACCCACTCTGTCAAAAAGACTTTCGATACAAAGACCACTCTGTCCTACTGCTGATCAACCTTCGGCTATGATACCACTTGTTGGGTCTTTCAAGAGAATTCATAGGGGAGAAACACACCAATGAGACATGAACCCAACCCACATAAGGATTGACACCACTCTTAACCCAAAATATTAAGGCATTGAGTTATGAGTCATACTTTCTTTTATGTTACTCAACTTTTCCATTCTTACACAATGTGAAACTTAGAATCACACTTGCATTCCCAATAATCTCCCCCTCAAGTGTGAATTCCTCCAGATTAGTACATTCCCTCGAGCTCACTAGTGACCCTTCCATGTATTGTCGTTCACCCTAACAGGACACACTTACTTGACCCACTTTATCAAGAAGACTTTCGATACAAAGACCGCTCTGTCCCACTGCCGATCAACCTTTCTGACCCACTGCCGATCAATCTTCACTCTTGAAAGTGATCCTAGCAAAGATCTCATTGATTTGATGAAGTCAAAAATAAAGTCAAGGGTCAACTCTGCAGCTGTCAAACAAGTCACTCAGAACAAAGGAGCTGAAGACTTAGTGTGTCTAAACAGAAAGCTTAGGTAAAACCACTTTACCTTTTCCACTGC